TAATTCTCATTAAAAATCAAAGATGGCGCTGCCGTGAATAAGATGTATTATCAGACTCCTTGTGCACACAAAAATCTCACTGAATTATTACAATTATTGGCAAATGGTAAATACTGTCAAATTATCCAATTGAATACTTTTTGGCATTTTTAAATAAATCTCACATCTGTGGAATACAACATGATCAGAACTTTAATAATCTAAAGCAGGGGTAGGTAACGTTGGTCCTGGTGTGCAAACATTTTTGCTACTTTCTATTCAGCTAGTCTTCTCAGTTATTAAAGCGATGTGAAGAATTTGCAGTTCCATTCACTTAAGATCTGGTCAATCCTCAAGAGACCTCGAACCTGTCACAGTTAAGTCTATTTCTAGTAGTAAGGTCCCTTTATCCACAGAACACTTTGTATTTGTGCCGTAGGACACATTTAGCAGATAATATACCATTAGCTGCAAAAAAATAGGACAGCTGGCCCTGTGAAGAAACCACCTGTCACAATCCTGAGGCAGAATGTGACATCATCACCTGAGACCTGGCATCTTATGGTCTTAACAGATATTTACTGCTGTTTATCAGCATGTCATACTGTGCTCTGTGAATGCAATCACATCACATGATCTTCAAGGCAAGATTCAGAGATCTAAGTGTAAGACCACCTTTTGTAAGACCACCCTTTGAATAGACTTAAATCTATTCAAATATAAGCAGTGTTCTGGATGTACAGTAAGCACTCACTTGTTTGGATGTCAGCCAGTCATCCACAAGAAAGCCTTCTTCCGAATCACTTTGAAAGTAAAGAAGATACAGCAATACCAAAGAGCCATTTAGAAACATACTGATCTTGCTGTCATCTATTCAGGCATATTCAGAAATAAACGAGCTTTACCTAAAACGCACAATTAAACACTTTGAAATGTATACATCAAATGTGTACATGCTCTACCATGTTCATGTCTACATGGAAATGAATATAAATAGACTTGTATATAATACTAGACATTTTTATTTGTAGATAGTCATTATGTTATATCCATTATTACAGCTTGGCAAACACACAGTCCATTAGCTAGGCCGTTGAACTCAAAATTAGATCATCAACATTAAGTTACCTATTCATATCTGGAATTTGATATTTCCCTCTGAAGGACCTCTCTCTCTGCCAGGTTTGTCATAACGTTCATTGTTCGCTGTGAAGAGAATAAATCAGTTTGTTTATATTAGGCGCGTGCCGTGGCACACCAAGATCGGTTTTAATACAAGAAAATGTACCAGAGAACGTGCATTGCAGGAACTGGCCTAGTAATAGTGCATTTCTGTACACATAATACGGTCTATTTCAGAAATAGATCAGTTTTAAGTGTTTAAGAAAACATAAACGACGTGAAATATTTGAGCAGTAAAATCATACACGCGACTCATACGTAACGTTGTTCGTTGCGCATGCGTGCGCACTACTCATTTGGAGAGAGCTATGGGAGAGAGGCGTACCTTTTTTTATCCCGTTTTCGTCCCAATTAATGTTTTGAGCGTTGCACTTTATTTATTGTTTGTTTGTCAGTTGAAAGTGTCAAGAAACATGGAAGAGCAATGTTCAGCACTTACGTGACTTGAGCACTGTGATCCGTTAACAACCTACGAAACCTAGCCTACGGTAATAATAATATAGTGTGGTTTTAGAGAGGAACCCAATGACAATTTGCCTACCTTGATTATTTTCCATAATAGATTATACACAGCCTGTCTGTCTGACCTGATGTACACTAAAGGTTTCAAATGTGAAAAGTTGTGAAAAAGGGAGAAATGCAAGGGATTGTGGGTAAAGAATGTAAACAACAACTAAACATTTAAAATTGTCTGTTTGTGTGTGGTCTTTCAAATATAATTTATTTACGTGATGCAATGCAGAATTTTCAACTTCAGTGTCACATGATCCCTCAGAAATATGCTTTTTTTGGAACCTGTTATACTTTTTTAGGTTTCAATGATTAATAAAAAGTTAAAAAGAACAGAATTTATTCGAAATATAAATAATTTCTAACAATATAAATCTTTACTATTACTTTTTATCAATTTAACGCATCCTTGCTGAATAAAAGTAATTTCTTTCCCTGAAAATAATTCTGACCCCAAACTTTTGAACAGTAGTATAGGCTATATATTTGAAATACATGCTGTTCTTTTTCTTTTTTATTTAATTAATGCTGAAAAAGTATCATAATAAATCAGCATAATATTTCTCCCTGTATTTCTGATCAAATAAATGCAGACTTGATGAGCATTAAAGACTTCTTTCAAAAGCATTAAAAATACTAATGTTTCCAAACTTTTGACCGGTACTGTAGGCTAAATATGCACTCACCTAAAGGAGGAGCGACACCTGTTCAGTTTCTCATTAATGCAATTATCCAATCAACCAATCACATGGCAGTTGCTTCAGTGCATTTAGGTGTGTGGTCCTGCATGGTCAAGACAATCTCCTGAACTCCAAACTGAATGTCAGAATGGGAAAGAAAGGTGATTTAAGCAATTTTGAGCGTAGCATGGTTGTTGGTGCCAGACGGGCCGGTCTGAGTATTTCACAATCTGCTCAGTTACTGGGATTTTCACGCACAACCATTTCTAGGCTTTACAAAGAATGGTGTAAAAAGGGAAAAACATCCAGTATGTGGCAGTCCTGTGGGCGAAAATGCCTGGTTGATGCTAGAGGTCAGAGGAGAATGGGCCGACTGATTCAAACTGAAAGAAGAGCAACTTTGACTGAAATAACCACTCGTTACAACCGAGGTATGCAGCAAAGCATTTGTGAAGCCACAACACACACAACCTTGAGGCGGATGGGCTACAAGCAGAAGACCCCACCGGGTACCACTTATCTCCACTACAAATAGGAAAAAGAGGCTGCAATTTGCAAGAGCTCACCAAAATTGGACAGTTGAAGACTGCAAAAATGTTGCCTGGTCTGATGAGTCTCGATTTCTGTTGAGACATTCAGATGGAATAGTCAGAATTTTGCATAAACAGAATGAGAATATGGATCCATCATGCCTTGTTACCACTGTGCAGGCTGCTGGTGGTGCTGTAATGATGTGGGGGATGTTTTCTTGGCCCACTTTAGTTCCAAATTTACATTTATTCATTTAGCTGACGCTTTTATTTCGCAAAGCGACTTAAAATTATATGTCAGAGTTCGCACGCCTCTGGAGCAACTATGGATTAATTGTCTTGCTCAGGGACACATTGTCTCGCAGTAGACTCTAACCTGGGTCTCTCATACCAAAGGCATGCGTCTTATCCACTGCACCATCACCACCCCTTAGTGCCAATAGGGCATCGTTAAAATGCCACGGCCTACCTGAGCATTGTTTCAGACCATGTCTATCCCTTTATGACCACCATGTACCCATCCTCTGATGGCTATGCAGGTAATTCCTCCAGCAGGCTCCTCAACACATTTTTGTGTTGTTTTTGATTTTTGTTTTGGATCGTTGTCCTGATGGAAGATCCAACCATGCATAGTCCATATAAGATTTCTAGCAGAAGGTGTCAGGTTTTGATTTTTTTATCTGTTGATATTTGATAGAATCCAGAGTGCCATGTATCTGAATAAGTTGTCCAGGATCTCCAGCAGGAAAAAATATGCCCACAACATTAAAGATGTTTCAAACATCTTTAATGTCAAATGTTTTTTGACATTAAATATGTTGTGGGTAGTTGTATTATAATAAATTGTACTCATGGGGTACTTTTTATTCATGTGTGCACCAAACCCATGTGCACCAAACCCCAGTGTGTTTGCTGCCAAAAAGTTCTATTTTTAGTTTCATCTGACCACAGAACCCTGTGCCGTTTTTTTTTTTTTTTTTTTGGCTTTCCGAGCCCAAGACTCAACTAATCTCTGTAATTCTCCACCTAGATCCTTGAAGAGTCTTTGGCCACGCAAACTTTCCTCCTCACCCTCCATTAAGGCAATATAGACACACGTCTTCTTCCTGGCAGATTTGTAACATCTTTAGTTGATTGGAAACTTCTAAAGTATTGCCCTGATGGTGGAAATGGTAATTTTCAATGCTTTACTGTAGCTATTTTCTTGCAGTCACTTTCTATTCTGTGAAGCTCAACAATCTTTTGATGCACATCAGAACTATTCTTTATTGGTTTTACTCATTGTGATGGATAATTATGGGAATTTGGCCTTTGTGTTTCCTCATATTTAAACTCCTGTGAAACAAGAAGTCATGGCTGGACAATTTCATGTTCCTAGTCACCCTGGTGTGCTAAAAAAAGGTATATATTAATGGGAATATACTTCAGAGATATTTTACTCCTAAAAAAATCTAGAGGTACCAATATTTGTGTTTTGGAGAAAAACATTTCTTTCATAATTTAAATTATGAAATAATTATTATGAAATATGTTTTGAATGAAATTTAAAAAAGATAAACGATGCAGATTTATTTCTTACAGACAGTTTTGATCATATTTATCAGGGGTATGTATATAACATATACATATACTCATGTATTTTCTATAACTATAATATTCTGTAACTTCATCTATGCGACATAAGTAGCTTAACTTTAATCTTGTCTCTGTTTACCCAATAGAAAACAATATGATATTTTGAAAACAATATTTACTATTTTAACACACTGCAATTGTTAATTAACTGCAACAAATGAAGCAGTTTAGGTAGTTGTTACAAAAACAAATTATTTTACGTATTTTTTTATTTTATTTTTTGACTGAAAACCTACTTTCTTTCATGGAATTATTCACATAACTGCAGGTACTAAAAACAGATGATTCCTATATTTCCTACCCTTAGACAGTAAAATAAAGTTCCTATGCTTGATTGACAATCTGGTCGAGTGGCGTCTGGGAAGTGGGAACTTTCTCATCCGGGTATTTGAAGTGTAGGCATTCTTTGCTCTCATTGGATAAAAGTCAGAATTCTGTGATTTCATTGGATGCCGCGGCTGTCAATTCTCATTGTGACCAGCAAGGTTGCTGGTCGTGGCAGCACGACGGACCGGCACGTAGATAGTCTTTGCTTTTTGTATAGGAAGAGCGTTTGTAATTCATTTTCAGACGGATGGTTGAGCTTTTGTGTACGCTACCTCTTATTTAACGTGTACCCTAGTCGGCCTCAGTTTGTTCTTTTTTTTATGTACCAACGAAAACTTTTACCATTTAGTTAACTTACCTCACTCACCTTTTGTTGTTCTCACGTCTCAGGTAAGACAGGAAACACTTCTCAACAAAAATTGACTGTTTATGATGTCTTGATATAATGAATGTAAAATGATAGGTTGGCCACTAACGTTACCCTATCCAGTCCTTAATATGTAAGCCGTTTTAGTTCTTTATTTTTTGCTAATTTACTCTCATACATACGAAACAGGTGCACCTGTTAGAACACATGAACAGATTTTGTGCAGCTGCAAGTTTTACTCTGAGTATTCAGAGCGCACTATTAAGGTGACTCTCATTTAGACTATCCTAACTCTTTTATATGTCAGAGAGGTATATATTGTGATGAGTCACTGTTTTGGTTAGCAGCACGTTAGTTTTAAAAAGGAAATGACGTGGTTGATGGACGAAAAAAGTAGTACGCCGTCAGTTCATTCAGAAATTATTTTTTTTTTTTTAAAGATTGTAAAGTCAGCTGATTATAAAACGTCAAGACCAATATGCATAACGTTACACCTTAGAATCTATGTAAAAGGGACTTTTAAGGCTATAGCTTGAAAACATGGCATTTTAAATACTACAGTGAGGTGGAGGTGTGTGTACTTTTTCCTGGTGTTCACTATTCCAACCATTATTAAAAAGGCTTGTGTATTTTTTAGTTTTCTATTGAGCAAGATGCCACATACCTTTTCAAACCATTATTAGTCCCATTCAAAACATGTTGACACTCATTGTCCTCAGAGAAACTTGTTTGTTTAAAAAGATGTGTACTCATTGTAATTGTGGCATTAGATTTGTTATCCTAGTAGACCACTGATGTTTTATGCCATGTAATATATACCATATTTTTTCCAAACGGGCCCTCTGAAGGCCAGACACTATTTTTAATATATGCAAAGCTGATAGACCCAAACCGTTGGCTATCTTGTGTATGCCAATTTGGGTATATGTGTATAATAGCTGAGTGTTTGCTTAAAAGTTAAGTTTTCTTTTTTCCGGTTGGTTATTGTAAGATTGTCAAGTACTTTCAGTACAATTGCTTAGAATGTGAGTGTCTCTATAAAATGGAATAATGCAATTTCCATTAATCCATGTTTTCCTTATTCAGGAGACCAGCATGTCACCATGGATTAATCAGATTTGCCTTGTTCTTGTGGCAGTGTTCATGTTGCCCAGTTCAACAGAGTCAAAGAAAGATGAAGCATTGTACTGTTCAGGTGAGTTAATGTTATGTGGCCTTTCCACACACACACACACACACACACACACACACACACACACACACACACACACACACACACACACACACACACAGAGAGAGAGAGAGAGATTACTTGTAATGCTATAGTAGGTGATGAGTGAGCTGGTCACTACACCATTACCCATTTCTTATTTATTACACTTACATTTAATTTCCACTCTCTTTTAAACTGTCATCACCATGTTGTTAACAGTTTTGTGGCATCAGAGCATATTTTTTACAGTCTATGCATCAGAGCAGATAAATGGGAGCATGTGCAATAAATGCTAATTTATTCAGAATCATGAAGTAGTTTGATCAAGAATTAATGGCTAGGCTAGACGTACATCTGTCTATTGTCTTACTATTTTTTTCTGATAATTACTTCATTCACATAATTATATTCAGCAATATTTTTTATAAATGGTTCTGTTCTGTCCAACCCCCACATGATTCTTATTGAGCAATTCTTCACTTAATTTATTCATGAAACCTTTGACCTTTTGGAAAGACTAATAATGGCTTGCTAAATACCAAATTTACAAAATATCTACTACTGATTTTTTTTTTTAAAGTTCAAAGTGAGGCCATAAACTGAACAGGGTGAAACTTATTTGTATTTCTATATAGTGCAACATGTACACAAATGTTGTTTCGTTCAGGTTTAATTTTTTTCATTGACTAGAATGCCCTGTAAACAATTAAAATCCTTCCTTATATGTTTTATCTTTTTTAAATATTTTACGGCAAACAACCACATGCTCAACGCCAACTGATTATACTTGTTTAAAAAGTATGTCTGCAAAAAAATTGCAAAAAAAGCCATTTTGAGATGAACTGTAATTAAGCCTGTTAAGTTAAACTTTCAGTAAGTAGAGCAGTTTTTATTCATGTGTGACCTACGTTACACCACTTGTATAATATCTTGCATAATATCTGCTGCATGAAGTTAAATGTATTGACCAAAATCATAATTAGTAGTACTATTGATTTCCTTTATCTCATCTCGGAAAAATTAATTTAAAATTGTATAATGATTTTAGTGCGTTTGTCAGCTAGACTTAGATATAATCAAAGTACTTGGAGTGAGCTCTAATTAATAAATTTATATTTTTATATTGTTTTAAATTGGAGTAGATCAAGTTTACTTTTTTTAAATAGCCCATACTTTTGAAACTTTCATAATGTGTTAATTACAAAATGTATGTGTATGTTTTATCACAACTTGCAGCATTATTTACTTTATTAGCTGTGTTTTGGTTTCATAAATTACTTGTAATTTTTCAAAACAATAAAACTCAACATAAGTGTTGTCGCATTTAAGGGCCAAATTTTTCATTATTGTTTTTTGCAAGTTTCAGTTGATTGTTCCAAGATAATTTAGATTATAAGTTGTAATTACTTGATATTATGAATATTATCTTCAGTACAAGTCTTTAGTCGATGGATGTTCTTTCCACAAATTAATGTGATACTATTTGAAACAGTTATTTTTTATATTACAAAAAAATTATAAATATGTTTTCCAACTTAAACCGTTGTTCTAAATTTAGTCAAGCAAATATGTCTAATTGGTTTATTTTGTTGACTAATTTTCAGATTAATCATAAATATAAATGTCATATGGAAATCTTTTGAAAGGCCAACATGAAACCAACACTGAAACAATCTATATCTACTGTCTTGTATGTGAATAGATTTCATTTCTTACTTTCAGAGGATTCCGAAGTTAATTTGTTTGGTAAATGTACAATTTAGATGTTTATTCCATTCTGGTCACATGGAAGACTCTTTCAAAAGCCCTGCTGGTTTATAATATAAAATTTTACTTGCATTGCGAAATAAAACTTGTGCTAAAACCAAGCTTTTTTTGGAAAGTCAAGGGGTGCAAAGCTTGGCTCAGATAAAGCCTACTTTAAGCTCCGCCCAGATTTAACAGTTGCCATGGAAATATAGCAAGCATGACTAAGCACCAGCTAACTCAAGATTTTAACAGAAGCATAGCTAGTGCATTTTTTTCGTCATTGCTATTTTTTCCATTAAAAAAAGTGTACGCAGGTAAAAAATTTATAAAAAATGTACAATTCATTGATAAAAAAATGTATTCTAGTTCAGATTATTTAAATACTAGCCATGATTAAAGACCCAAGTTCATTAATTGTACAGGTGTCCAACATAAAGAAGCATAGTAATGTATAAATACTGCTTTAAAATTGTGATTTACACATTTTTTGCAGTGCGTATACAAAGTTTCAATTATAAAAAGTTAAGGGTCATCCCTGCTAAAAACATTTTTACTCTATTTTTCCAATATACGAGATATTGTCTTAGTTTTCTTAGTTAAAAAAAAAAAATTACAGGCATATTTTTTTAAATTCGTATCTTTTTTTTTTTGTCTACCATTGAGGTTTAAATGATCATGTAATGATTGTAATGATTTTTTTTTCTTTTCTAGCCTGTGTGGCGATTGCAGAGGAACTCAACTATTCAATCAGCCAAACTGATCCAAAAAAGATGATTCATGTTGGTGGATTCAGACTTAAACCCGACGGAAGTCTTACAGACAAAAAGGTGTGATTCAGTGTTAATTGCTCACAGCCAATGCTGAATCCAGTTTCGAAGTGAACTCGTTTTTCTGATAGAAATTTCAGTGCTTGCGAAGCAACAAGAGAATGGTGTCAAAGTTGTTGAAACATTTAGGATCAGTCACTGTGCCTGATGAAGGCACAAATGAAAGAGACAAGCCCAGTCGTTATTCAGCATGCAAATAGATTTAAGAAGACCGATCACCTAATCTGTATGTAAATATTATCATGCCGGAGACATTTTAAAATCGATGAGGCGATAAAATCAGTAAATTTCTTAAGTATAAAGTTTAGAAAATCCAAAATAAATTACAAAAATAGTTATTACAATTATCAACAAAACAACTTTTAATGTTGTCTGAATCAGTTACTTAGAGTAATGCTTATGGTAGGTTTTTTCTTTTTTTTTTAAAGAGCAACCTTTGTCTTGCTCAAGAGCACAACATTGATAGTGATAAATTGTGAAAAGTTTTAACTGTCCTTAGACTAGTGCTTGTATCCTTCCAGTTAGTGCCCCAGTTTTACAGTCTTCACCACCACTACATTTATTATGAGCTATTTTTATTAAAAACACTAACACATTTTTCCTTAAGTACTTAATTGTATTTATGTTCGAGATTTGTGTATTTATTTAGTGCTTAGTTGCCTTCCTTAGCTCTTTAATATTTCCTGGTGTTTAAAAGCTTGTTTTGTTTACTTGAGTAAAGGGAGCCATTTTCACTGTTTCCTTCTCAACAGTGGTGTCAATATGTAAAGGTCAGACCCAATGAACTCTAAGCCCTGACCCCTGGTATCCAGGGACTGTCATTAGGTCCCTGACTCTACTATTGATTAGGGGTTAATCCCTTTTTGATTGTAACTGCTGCCTAATAACAAGTGTTTGTTCAGTTCTGACTTCTCCCCTCACCTCTCAGGCTATTTCAACTGGGTAAAATGTTTGTGAGCCTGTATAATTCGAAACGTTAACGCAAGTAATGCTCAGCCCCCAATTGATGATAGAACATCATCAAGCCTGAATTTTAATATGGGTTTATGTACACTGTCTAGGTAAAAACAAAAACTAACATACAGGTATTGTTAGGGATTAGAAAGAAAACCTGTTAAAAATTTTGTCTTGCTTCAGTGCAGTTGAAACAGTTGATTAATGAGGAACTTCATTTTTTTTTCATGCATCTGTCTTTTTTCTTAATTTGTCATTTATCAGCTCATTGAGGTGAAGTCAGGAATTTGGGTTTTAATTGCTTATTATGGTTTTAAATTGCTGTTTAGGGAGCTGAAACATCATGATTTTGGTCAATATCAAGTGGAAAGCTAAGGCTGAGATTCTAGAACCGTTTACCCATATTTAACGAGTCCAAAGAAACCCTTAACTGCTGCTGTAAACCAGTGATGAATGTAAAGAGTGAAACAGTTTTGCACACATGTCCATACCAAGTTAAACGTCAAGCATGTATCCTTATCGCGCGTAACCACCATGAGGTGCCGGGAAATGAAGAACGATCCTTGTCGACCTCTTCCATCTGACTGCTTTGGTCTTTGGTTCAAGAGTATCCCATCTCTCTTCAATAATAAGGAAGCAAAGCAGAAGCAGTGTAGCAGAACTCGCTCACTGTTCCCTGAGAGTGGCTTCACTTAAAAATAAATGCTAATTAAAGCTCCCCAAATCCCTCCCTGTTTCTCCTTTCATACTTGGCTTGGTCCACTTGCCCAGAAGCTGAAGGTGAACCCCTGCGATGCGCCCCCATGTTTTTAGCAGACTCACTAAAGAAAACCTTCGACCGCTTTTGCTAAAAGGTCAATTTATGTATCAATAAGGGCGAAAACCTTTGATTGGGTCCTATATCTAATCTGTATGCTTTTTTGTGTGTGCATGTTTAGAGTTTTTAACAAAAAAATAAATAAAAAATGATGGAATTAATGCAGCAAAATGCCCTCTGTCCCAATACTACAATGATGCCTGGCTCTCCAATAGGAATTCAGTGAAGGATGGCATCCCTGAGAAGCCTTTTCTCTGCCTGGGCCGCCTAGCCCCCCCTCTCTTTATTCCTACAGAAATTCTTTATTGACAGCTTCTATTCAAACCCTTCAGACTGTTACGGGGAGGAATTTAATTCCCCGCCATTTTCAGGATTGCATGATAAGAACTCGGCAGAGGATGCGTCACACAAGCCATCCTCTGCTAGATCCAAAGGCAAGTTTTTTTTTTTATTGCTTTTGGACTTTTGTGCATGAAAGAATCTCTCTTATTGTTCTCTGGTGGTTAGCCTAAAGTTTAATGAGTTGAATTTAAAAGTGTAATTGGTGTAGATCTCAGATATTATAATCCATCCATTTTTATGCCGAGGATGACATTTAACCCCGAGCATTATTAAACAATGTGGTTGTGTAGTCCTGGTGAACAATATTTAATTTTTTCATGATCCTGCACCGATAGTCAAGCGATCGGCTCCTTCGTTCAAGGATTTTTGCACCCGTAGTCGTTCATAAATTGTCTTATCTTGCGGTCAATCCATCTGCATTCAGCTTTTTAATTAAAAAGATGGGGGATGTGTGGATAGGTTGCTGTCCTTCCATGGGACCTTTTATCTTATTTGTGACCAGATGGCAGCGAGCCACGGAAGCCTCTTTATGTCACCGAGCCTCACAAGAGTGGAGGGGGTAGAGACGCCCTCATAATGTAATCGGTGAGACCGGAAGGGTCCATACTGTGTCTGAAAGGGGACAATGGGGTCAGGGATATATCTACATCGCAAGAAAATCCAGCTCATCTGCAACCTGTCCTCTTTCCAATAACCCCCTCGCCCCCCAACCCCGCCAGCCTTTGACTGGCCTGACAAGGAAGACTTCCTGCTTTGATCATTGGAGGGTGGAAGAGATGAGCTGCCCAAGAGAACCAAAGGATGGGACTCCACTGTTTACCCTGCACTTGGCTGCTGTTGACAACTCCCCTCCCCACTGCTTACCCCCCGCTCTCCAGCCCTTTCACTTTCTCCGCCCCCCGTCACCCTTTCCCCTTTCTCCTTCCGGGGGAGGCCAAAGGGGCGGGAGCAGGGTGCACCTTGACCTGTCTAGACACCACAGTGTGTTTTTGTTCTGTTGCCAAGGCAAGGGGATCTACTTTTGCAACTTTGGAGATACAGGTTAAAAGTCAGCGTCGTGGCACAGGGGATGTGTTTAAATGGGAACGGAAGGAAAAGGTCATCTAAGTGACCTAAGTGCCCTGTTTTTTTTTAAGATTTTTTTTTTATTGTTGTTTAAAAAGAAAGAAAGGGGGATTTAATAACTTAGCCAGCATTTCCTTCTTTTTTTATTATTCTGAAATCTTTTTCCGATAGGTTCCTCTTGCTAGGTCCGAAACTCACTTAACTGAACTACTGGAGGAAGTTTGCAATAGCATGAGCGATTATGCTCTCTATGAGGACCCGGACACCAAAGAGAAGAGTTACAAGAGATTTGCACCCAGAGGAAATGATGCCGGGAATTTTCCGGATTTCAAAAATTTTAAGTTTGATGGTCCAGAGAGTTCCAGTGCCTTGAAGTTTGCTGTGAGTATCAATTTTATATATTTTTCATTGTAAAGATTTGTAGTTATATTTTATATATATATATATATATATATATATATATATATATATATAAAAAGTAGAAGTTTCCCAGTTCATCATACAATTTCCATGACATTTATTACGTTAACATTGTTTTTTTTTTTTTTCCTATAACAGTTATAAATCATATTTTATTAAACGGGTTTTCTTTTCTGAAAACCCTTTGAAAACTTAACGTATTGCATTATCATTGATATCTGTCTTATTCCTAAACAAAAGACATGGGCTCATATATATATATATATATTTATATTTACTTTCTTCTTTCTTGTTATATTTGCTGTTAATTCTTTTTTTTTTTTTATTAAATGCAAATGATCAAGGTCTATAGGACATGCGTACTGTAACCTTTAATTTTGGACTTTAATTTAATTTTTTATTTACAAGATGACTGGAATTATAGGCCAGAGTAAAATTACTTCATGCCATTTGCCTGCAAGTTACCTCCTGAGTCGTGATTCGTGAACCGTCCAAGATGGCAGACTTGCTAACACTATAGCACTAAAGATGGCTGCTCATTACGGTGTTCATTTATTTTTACTGTTGTGAATGATTTCTGCTTATTTTCTGTCAACATACTCATAGAATTCTAACTATATTTTTGAAATGTATATTGCAGTGTGAAAGCATTGTGGAAGAGTTGGAAGATGATATCATCTCCCTCTTTGCCAGTGAGACAGACCGTGTGGCTAAGACATTGTGCAGTGAAGTATCAGGTATTTATGTATGATGTGATACACCTTCTTTCGTTCACTATTAAGCATATAGTAAACCTGAACCATAGTGTTGACTTGATTTGCATTGTGCATTGTTTTCCAGATTTTGCTTTAGACTTTTAATGCATTTCTGCATGCAAATATTAATGCAGTGTGTACAATTTTTTAATTTTTTTCTTTTTCCTGGTGTGCTTGACATCAAACCTTTTTTTGTTTGTTTATTTAAACTATTATTTTACAATTGTTTTTTTTATTTTTTTTATGTATTTTATCTTTAAACTTCTAACCCTATGATATATATCATCTACATGTAGCCTTTTCCACATTATGCCTTAGACAATACTCAGTGATTTCCTTTTAAAATCTGCAATTCACAAACTTCGAGAATTGCATTTTAGTTTCCTTAATAACAAAAATCTGCAAGTACTGAGAGTCTTAGTGGAATAGTGAAAACACATATTCTGCTAGAATTAAACTAAATTTAGAAAGCGATTTTCTGTAGCTATCTGAAATATCACTATTATTCCTAGTTAAAGAATGGGAAAATAAACAGAAATTGATGTTAAATTTATATGCACTATGCTAAATGTTAATTTTCGTAGCTCAGCTGATTCTTCCTTCAATGCACTTAGTATTTATTTAATTTAAATGTAATTCATAATTTGTAGATGCTCTTTGTAGATAAAAATAATTATTTTTGCACCTTACTTAATGTAAGATTTAAAGTCTTAAATCTTAATGAGTAATGTTGATCTGGTTATGCAAGTAGTTTTATAAGAATAAGAAATTATCAAACAAATACTTTTTTGTGTGTGTAAGAGACACTATATTTTGGGGATATTTGTTCCCTGAATTGACCAAAATCTCCAACAAAAATAAATAAATAAGTAAATGCAGAAGGTTTTGTTTGATGGGTAGGGTATATAAGGGGATAGAATATACAGTTTGAACAGTATAAAAACATAATGCCTATGTAATGTCCCCATTTAGACAGCTATGTGTAAGTGTGTGTGTAATTGCTTCAGTAATTTTATGCCTTGTTCTCTTTTCATATCCAGGTCACTGTAAGAGCTCTGTTTTTCAGCACAGTGAACTTTAGTTTCACATCAGTGTCTGCTGAACTCCAAAACACGGACCAAAAATGGAGACATCAAATATTTTCCTAAAGTAGGCTTTTGTTTTTTTGTTTAGTTTTTTTATTACTAAATTTGATGAAAAAAATAATTTTATATTAGTATTATAAATGAAAAATCTATTACAAATGAATGAGTTTTCACTGCTGAGTAATGGACACACTTTTATATATGCATACCACATATAAATGTATATGTGTGTGTGAAAACTAAATTGATGTTAAACGATTGCCTGCTAATGGCATGCAATTTATGTTCAATTCCATTATCAGTTATTTTTAACCTATGTAGTTTTGGTGGACTTGAAATGGCAATCAATGTGGTGTTATGGTGTAATTTATGATGGCTTCATTCTTGATAAAAGTAAATAAAATGTTTCAAATACAGTGTTGAAATGAGTCATTTGTTTTTATACTTTGCACATTTTCCCTAATTTAGAATAATTTGTCTGAAGAACTGTTAACTGGCAGGTTAGGTGTGACGGCAAACCCATAGGCTTTATCATCCCAAATCATTTCACAGCACAGTCTGCTTGTTTAGTTCTGATGTCCCATGTCTGTCCAAGTCGGGCTTTTGAACATGGCCGCTGGGTAAGTATGATGGCATGCCTTTCGCACCCTTCCCTCACAGCTCCCTCCATGCAGAACTACGCATGCGCCACCATGGCAGCAGCACAGGGGCAGGTCCTGTTTTGGGAGAGTAAAGGAGCAAGAGACGCCATGATTGCTTAGCTCTGTGAGTAGTCTGGATATGGGTGTCAGACAAATCACTGAGGGGGAAAATGACAATACTCACTGTTTTCTCTGATAATGTTGCATTGTTTAACTCAAGTCAGCCCCCTGTGCATAGTCGTAAAATTATAGATATCACAAGGAAATGTTCAGGAATCTACAATGATTCCGCTTTCTTTTGGGAAATCTAATACTTGGCTGTTTTATATTTGATCAGTTTATGTAAATGAATAAATAATGTAATTGTACTGTTTTCTACAATTTACAAACTAATCTGTAATTCTTTTTTTTTTTTTTAGCAAAATCAGTCAATTTTTAATCAGCCTAGATTTAATAATCTTAAGAAAAGAACTTTTTTGAAAACCAAAGAATATAATTTATAAATTATATTTAAATTTTCTATATTTTAAATATATATTTTTATTTATTTATATTTTTTGGCAAGTAATCTTGGGCTTAAATGGCTAAAAAGCTATAATTTTTTTTTTTTTTTAAAGGTTTTTGGTCCCAGAAATGCTCGATCAGCTAATGAAATTTATAAAGAACGCCATCAAAGTTCAGAGTTGAATTTTGCTGTTCTTGGAAGATTTGATTTTTTTTTTTTTTCAGATCATTTGTTTTTCTTTTTCTTTTTTTTTTTTTATGCTAAACTTAAATTTGATGTGTATGTAACTGGCCCCCTTCAGGAAACTGCTTTCTTTTTAAAAAGTTGGTTGTGACCATACAAAGTAGCTTACTTCAATTGTGTTTATCCAGTTGTGTGTTGTGCTTTGAGCTTAAGTTTGACTGATCAAGTGTTACTTGGTGCAGTGGGCTATGACTCCAAACAAAGGGAACTGGACAAGTAAACATTAATTTCCCATGCAATCAAAATGCTGCCCTAGACATCCTCACCGAAAGCAATGCTGTTTTTTTTTTTGCTGATCACATCAACTGGATGATTAACCATTTTGTAATTACCCTCAAGTCAGTCAGAATGGACCAGAAGTTCTACACATTGAAAAAAAATGTAAGTGAAATTTGATCTCTCCCTTAAATTCGCTATAAAGTTCAACCGCTGAGCTGTGGCGTTAACTTGTATTCTAACAAGATTAAAATATATTTGTCCTGGAGATTAGCATACTTAAATCCTTTTTTGCTTTTTCTGAACTGGCAGTGTGCTTTGATCTGTGTTGCGTGGCAAGAGCCTGGCTTTGGCTTGGCCATCCGAGTGCCAAGTGTGAAATTGGCCTGATGTCATCCCCATTCTTCACCCTCTACATCTTTCACTGCCTTAATTATATTTCCGCCACAAAGCCCCAGCTCTTCATTGCATATTCAAGTTTGACTAGGATGCATTCAAAAATTATAGATATATGACTCCTTTGGAATGGGGACAAGATAGGCCTTTCTGTGATAAACAGACCAGTGAGATCAGCTGCACTGCTCTGTGTTGTTTTTGTTTTCTTAAAGAGTGACTGGCCTCAGGAACCGAAGCCATTCAGACTTTGGAAAGACCAGTTTTAGGGAGAGGGAAATTGTGTGTGTATGTGTGTCAAAGACAAATCTTCGAAGAAGTAATAGCCTATCCATAGCAGGGCCTCTGAGGTTCTGCTATATCTATTGGGAGCTGGGATGGACATCAAACTTGTAAGCCGGCCTGTTGAACTTCATATTATATCTGCCCAGACAAGCTGCCAAAAGTTGATGGTATGACTTTTTGGACAAAACAGCTTGAGGAAGGGTGAGATCCTGAGATTTTCCTGCATCCTATGCAGAGCTGGATGTGAGATGATCTAATCTCCTCACACCATTTCATCTCAACTTGGGTTGCAGAAACGTTCTGTTGATGTTTGAAATGAAACCAATTAATGCGATGCCTTTAAGAAATATCTGTGCAGAATTCAGAGGTGATGAAATGTAGGCGAAGTGAAACGAGCCACCTGCAGCTGTGACAGGAGGCGTTGACCTTCAACGGGGTCTCCCGGCCACAGACTTTATTCAGGAGCCTCGCTGCGCGTCTGAGCGGCAACTGCCTCTTTCTTCCCAGTGAGGCTCATCAAGACAGTGGCCGTTGGGCGTTACTTCCACATACAAGCTTGGCAAGAATAGAAATGCAGATGAGATTCTCTGGCATTGATGAACAGGTCAATGCTGGGAATGGTTCTCAGAGATAGCTCGCCTTTTGTGTAGGACTTTTTCACTAATACGACTTTTCTTGAAATGTTTTCGTGACATCAGGTAGCCGTTTCTTGTTTACAAACGCAACCAAAGAAAACCCGTGCTTTATTTGCAGAGGCCTAAGAGTTATCTTCGAAGTTTTTTTTCTGTCTGAATAGTTAGCCTATGCTTTTTTTTTTTTTGATATTTTAATAGGCTACTTTTATAAATTTTATGAGTGAAATTACATGCATTTGAACTCCCCATTGTCGACATTTGGACTAAAGTTGAGTTTAGTCTACAGTTTAGATAATTTGCTGCAACTTAACAAGATGGGGCTAAACCAGCTGTGTAGCATGTCCCATAATAAGCTATATCAACAAGTTTTGCGGCTCTTAGCTATATGCCTTGCTTGAGTTACACAAACTTTATAGGCTATCATCATACGAACTTTTATTTATTTGTTTGGTTTTAGCCTATAATTTTGCAAACTTTTAATAAGTTAATTGCAAAAAGTTTTCATCGTTTACTTTTCTAAAATGTTGTAGGTTACCGATAGCATTATCGTGTAGGACACGCAGTTAAGTTGTTCCTTCGTGAATTTTATTCGTGCTTGTGCAGAGAGATTCAAACATGATTGGGGAATCAAGGACACCTCTTGGTTGAAGCCTAAAGGTATAATCATTGTTGCATCCCACTGTGGGCTTTACTAGCTATGTCTATTTTACCTATTTTAGTTTGGTAGAACTTCGTGCTCTATATGCCCCGCCTACTTTTAGCATCTGAGTTATATGGTGAAAAGTAGTACAAATCAAAATTTAAAGTGGAATTTATGCTTTTGGTCATTAATGTAATCTAGGCCTGGTACTTTTCATCTTTTCAGATATTTATTAATTTTTAAAAACATTTATAAACTTCAACAATAAGTCCAGTTCTCGTTTAAAACTCTTAACACAAATAAACGATGTAGGCATAGGCCTACCAATAATCTAGTAATGCTACGCTAAATATTAAAATTGATATGAAATAAAGATGGAAAAAAATAATGAAATGGTCTGTTTACTTTTAATACATGCATAGGGCCTACTGCAGATTATTTAACTTTTACAGGTTTAAAATGTTTCTTGCACTCGCGTTTTGCTAAAGTTCATTATCTTCTTTTTTTTTAAATCGTAATTTACAAAATGTTATTGAAATGTATTGTGGAGGCTGATGATACTCCTTCGTTTTCACAGTATGTAAAAAAAAACAAAAAAAAACAAGTAAAATAATAAAAAGGGGGAAAAGATAGTTGCAGACTTTCTTGATATATTCACCGCTGTCAACATTTTAAATGGTAATATTCAACTTATTTTACTTGGGAGTTTATTTTTATTTTTGAGCCAAGTAATGATTATAATTTCATGTGAAGCTTAAAATAAAAATAAAAGTCAGGGATGCTCCACCAAACGAAAAACTTGCCGGATATCCATTTAGAAAAAGAATATGAGAGAACTTTTATTGAACATTCCCAGCTAAATAAACAGACAGCAAATTAAATCAAGTACTTGGATTAGAAGTAGTTTTGAGGTTTGCTGATTCATATGCATTCAGACGACTGATCTATTTCCTGAAAATGTGAGGACATTTTGTGAACCATCCTTGACGGATATATTTTAGACCATATATCTTTTAAATACAATATACTGAATTATTTTGAGCATGATATGATGTTATGCAATGTTGTCTTATGTCATAACAACTCAAGTAAAAGTAAAACATTCATCCAGGACTAATAAAATTATACATGGAAACAAACATCTAGATCAGATAAAACTTTTTTTTTTCTTTTGTTACATTTATTTTAAATCACAGTTGCCTGAATGCAGCAGGAAAAAATCTTTGGACTTCAGCATGGATTAAACACGGTCACATGTGGCTCAACGTCAAGTGTCAATCAAATCGCTCCCCTTTTTTAAATAAAGAAGCGTCCTTTTCCTTGCGCTATCTGAAGTTTCAGTCCGTGCACAGCAGTGATATTAATTGAAAAGGGTTTACACCACCGTACACAAAGTATATACATATAATATTGCAGAATCATATGATCTCATACATATAGTTTTCATTCGTTTAATGCTGGTATTTTTGTACACTGGCCCTTGTTTAGAATTATTGCATTTTAAGATGTCCTGTCCTTCACGTTAATCGCTGTCTGATTTGTCGTCCTTTGCATGTGTTGCGTGATTGTATAGTCCTTGTGCCATCAGGTGTAATGCAAGTGTGTTTTTGCTCCCCGTGGCTTTTTTAATCTTCGCTCTTTTGTTCTGAAACCAGATTTTGATTTGAGACTCGTTGAGTCCGAGTTCCTGGGCCAAAGCTTGCCTCCTTTGCTCCGTCAAGTAACGGTTATTCTGGAATTCATTCTTGAGTCTCTGGAGTTGCTCCGCTGTGAATGCTGTTCTTGGACGCTTGTCTTCCTTGGATGGATTTTTCTTCTTTGGTTTGCGGGATCTTGGTCCTGCATTTCAGAATATAAT